TAGAACTTGTTAACCATGATTAATTTGGATTTTTATTTCTGTTTTTATTATTTTATTTTGTTTATTTTTTTTTCTATTTTGTTCGAATTCTTGCTTTGTTCAGATTTACTAGTGCATGACACGCACTAGAAGAGAGGGACTAGCAGAATTCGATCCTGAAATTGAAAGGACCCTTCGCTTATTACAAAGGGCTAATAAAGGTAAAGCGAGAGAGGAGGTTGAAATTGGCGAACCAACAATAGAGATTGAAGAAGAGATGGCAGAAGCAAATCGCACCCTCTTGGACTACGCCTATCCAACCATTGATGGGGTGACTTCCAGTATTTGCAAGCCCGCAATTCATGCTAATAATTTCGAAATCAAGCCTGCAATCATCCAGATGATTCAGATAAGTATTCAGTTTAGTGGGTTGCCAAGTGATGACCCTAATGTACACATTGTTAACTTCATAGAAATATGTGATACATTTAAACAAAATGGAGTTAGTGATGATGCTATTAGGCTTAGATTATTTCCATTTTCATTGCATGATAGAGCTAAAGATTGGCTTAACTCACTCCCTGCAGGAAGTATCACCACTTGGAATGATCTAACCCAAAAATTTTTGGCTAAGTATTTCCCACCCTCTAAAACAGCAAAACTAATTAATGATATCACTACTTTTGCTTAATTTGAGAGGGAATCTTTGTATGAAGCATGAGAACGATTCAAGGAGATGCTTAGGAAGTGTCATCACCATGGGATACCAATTTGGCGTCAAATTCAAACCTTTTATAATGGTATTACTCCCTCTAATCGATCCATTATTGATGCAGCAACAAGTGGCACAATCATGAGAAAAACACCAGAGGAAGCCTATGACCTAGTGGAGGAGATGGTGTCAAATAGCTACCAGTGGAGCAATGACCGCACCAATCAGAGGGGAGTACACCATGTCGATTCCTTTGCTGCTCTTTCTGCTCAACTTGCTAATCTGAATAAAAAAATTAGATAGTCTTAATGTTGCAGCAATAAATACATCATCTAGCATCCCATGTGATTTCTGTGGTCAAATAGGACATACTAATTCTGATTGTCCATTAGGTAGTCCTTTTGCTTCACATGAGAATGTTAATTTTATCTCTCACACTGGCAGGCCAAATTTCAGCCCCTACTCAAACACATACAACCTAGGGTGGAGGAACCATCCAAATTTTACATGAAACAACAATCAGCAAAAGGCACCCATGGGATTCCAACAACAGCCGCTCCCACAAGAAAAAAAGAGCAATTTGGAAGAGATAATTTCTAAGTTCATCAATGCTACTGAAGCAAAATTCCAAGAACAGAATAAGAGACTTTTAAGTCATGAAGCATCGATCAAGAACTTAGAAGTTCAAATGGGGCAGATTGTGAATCTGTTGTCGGAAAGAAAAAGAGGGTCGGCTACCCAGCAACACGGAGAAGAATCCCAGAGAGCAAGTAAATGCCATAGCTTTAAGAAGTGGGAAGACAGTTGGCAAAACCCAGAAGGATGAAAAGGAAGCTGATATGGCTGAATTGCAAAAGGAGACTGATGGGAGTACACCTAAACTGAATTTAGATGCTGTTAGACTCCCTCTCTCCTACCCCAGAAGAGTTTTGAAGGCGAATAAACAGTTTGAAAAATTTTTAGAAGTATTTAAAAGGATCCATATTAACATCCCTCTTCTTGATGTGCTGTCACAGATGCTGAAATATGCTAAATTCTTGAAGGATGTGATGTCGAACAAAAGGAAATGGATGGACTGCGAGATGGTGAAGTTAAATGAAGAGTGCTCGGCCATTCTTCAAAATAATTTGCCCCCAAAGCTGAAGCATCCAGGGAGTTTTTCTATACCTTGCACCATAGGGAATATCGAATTTGAAAAATCTTTATGTGATTTAGGTGCTAGTATAAATTTAATGCCTTAATCTATTTTTGAAAAACTCGGATTGCATGAATTAACATCTACAACTATTACCCTGCAATTAGCAGATCAAAGCATTAAATGTCCTAGGGGAATAGTAGAAGATGTTTTGGTTAAGGTGGGTAATTTCATCATTCCTGTCGATTTCATTGTGTTGGATATGGAGGAAGATAGGTCAATGCCATTGATTCTAGGGAGACCCTTTCTTGCTACTGGTAATGCCTTAATTGATGTACAAAAGGGTTTACTTACTCTTAGAATCAATGGTGAAGAATTGGTGTTTGACATATTTCAAACCATGAAGTATCCCAACACAAGTGAACATGAAATATATGCAATCGATTATATAGATGTTTGGGCGGCTGAGATTAACTCACCAAAGTTAGACGACTCCTTTGAAAGTTGTAGTCCTAATTCATGTGAAATTTTACAGGTCATGGGGGAGGAAGAAAAGGAGACAGTGAACTATTTGGAGGCCGGCAAAGAAGGGTGTAAGCCAAGACAAGGAAAATTTCTGCCACTAAAAGGGCCAGACTCTACCAAACAATTGCTACCCTCCATCAAAGCACCTCCAGCTTTGGAACTTAAACCCTTACCCATTCATTTAAAATATATATTTTTGGGAGACAGTTCCACCTTACATGTAATTATCTCTTCTGAATTGACAGGTCTCCAAGAAGAGAAGCTTGTGAGAGTGCTCAAGCAACACATATTGGCCATAGGATGGAGCAAGGCCGACATAAAAGGGATCAACCCTTTAGTATGCAGGCACAAAATTCTGATGGAACAAGGCTGCAATCCCAAGGCACAACCACAAAGGAGGCTGAACCCTAAAATGCAACAGGTAGTGAAGACAGAAATTCTGAAATGGCTCGAAGTAGGTATTATCTACCCGATTTCTGATTCATCATGGGTAAGTCATGTTCAAGTCGTACCAAAGAAAGGGGGGATTACTGTAATTCTAAATGAAAATAATGAATCAACCCCCACAAGAACAATAATTGGCTGGAGGGTGTGCATAGACTATCGAAAGCTGAATGAGGCCACTAGGAAAGATCACTTCCCTTTGGCATTTATTGATCAAATGATAGAGAGACTTGTAGGGCACGAATATTATTGCTTCCTAGATGGCTACTCCGGGTATCTTCAAGTACCCATTGCACTTGAAGATCAGGAGAATACCACTTTTACTTGCCCATATGAAACCTTTGCATTTAGGAGAATGCCATTTGGATTGTGCAATGCACCTGCCACTTTCCAACATTGTATGA